AAGTTCATGTAAGTCCCCCCCAAAAAAAACAAGTATCGTTAGCCATGGTGTCGATGTGATTCGAGGCTTTCCGAGCAATGTTACTCGACCTGTTTTTAACGGTTGGTAATTCTACATCCGCGTCCTTTGAGCATGAATGAGTATATACGTTTTCGAATGATACATACCCTGTGCATTAATATAGGTAAATGGATTTCTTGTTATATTGAAGTACAGTATCTAGTATGCCATAAAAGGACGACCCCCAATCCTACCCACACCTTCAGGTGTTGCTGATATGGCGAGCAGGTGTTCCAACTTATGATGATGCTCTGGGAATCATATCAAAACACTTCATCTATCATCTCAAATTGTAGCGACAGAAAATCTAACGATACTTTTGACACTTTTTTGGGGGGACTGTACTTTAAGACTCCACATATACACTTAAAATTACACACAGTCTTTCTCTATCTTACTTTAACATCCAGATGGGCCAACATGCAACTCCCTTCACTACAGACACCAAAATTGAATGCAGTAAACAGGAACAAATAATATTTCCAGTCTTAAATCCCAAACATGGGTCTAATTAGTAAGAATTATACCCTAGCGTGCAGTTTTAGAGAGCAAACTGTAGAGAGCCAGTGTCACAAACAACACTACTTTGTATTTTCTGTTGGTTGTGATTGAACGGAGACTGTCCCAAATGAAATGAGTTGTGGATTATAATGAGAGGGTAGATTGCTATATTATCCACGTGCAAAAGATTGACCGATACAAAATTTGATGTTGAACACGATCTCTGCCAACCTTACCTTTCCCTCTCACGTCCTGAAGCCAGAGAACCTTCACTCGACCTCAAATCTCCCCTCAATCCTTTCATAATTTCACGAGCAGTTAGTCCCAAACATATTATTTCCTTTAACGCGTATTGTGATAAGACATAGAGCATGTCAAACGTTTTGAATGAAGACCAACCAAATAAACACTATCACACACACACACATACACACACTGGTGGGGTCACACAATAACTACGTGAATAACTTCAGAAGAAAAGTGTTTTGCTAAGCGACACCTATGAATTTGAAGTCTGCTGTTAATAAGACGTTTTCATGCAAAATAGTCCATGAAACATACGACCACTTTTAATATATTACATGACTTGGACAGGTGTGACGTCACTCAAAACCACGACTGAGAAGTATGCTGTCTGATATAAGGCCTTTAAGTTCTGACTGATTATGTAGGTTTAGTTACCAGTCACAGCATATACTAATAGAATTGTCTGAATTATGAATAATCATCAGCCTCCAAGGAACAGCAGTGTATGTGAAGGATCATTGCAGGTGTACAGCAGATATAAAGCTTTTTGTGGAAGGGAGCTAACGAAACGTGTCTTTTATACCAGTAATTAATATTGAATAAATGACAAAGTGAAGGGAAAATGTGTGTAAGCATTTCCTTTACATCTGGCCAACCTGCCATGCCATCAGTGAGGAAAGAATCGAAAATTGTTGCAAAATTGATCCAGTGGCATCACTACAAGAGAGTCCGGAGGGGGATATACTGGTGAACATAAGCGATGGTGTGTGTGTGTGTGTGTGTCAGTGATTCCTCAAGTGTAAAAAACGTCCATATGTAAAGTTAATACAACATTATTATTGTAGAGTTTTAATTATTATTGTAGAGTATTATGTATGAATTGTGATGGTATATATTGTATAATTCCCACAAGAAAGATTTTATTCTGTAATGTTGCTCAAACAACATGTTGACTTCTAACTACAGTATAGAGAAACAATTTTACCTGATTTAAAATTACTATGGATGTCAATAGGTGTTGATGTGGTTCGTTTGATGACCTCAAGCTTCAGAGGTAAGAGTCCTTGACACTGTTTCCACAAGTTTTAAAAAGGCTTAAAGCTAAACCATTAACTAGGCTATAATTATCTTTAAGTTTTTACCCATTTTATGGAACGTACAAAAATAACACTGAATAAAATATGGGACTGGCAGTGACCTTTAAGTGATTCACTCAAACTTATTTTACTGAACACAATGGTTGATGCTAGATCTTAGATCATAAAGCCTAAATACCGATAACAACGTAAAATGTTCGTTGGATGTCATGGATATTCACTGTTTTATATGTACTTTACTTAACACCGGAATATTTCAAACCAATGCGAAGAAGAAATTCCAAGAATTTCAGTGGCATTTAGATATTAAAGGTTATACTGTACAGTCAATGCACATTTGATAACTTAATATCTCTTACCCAAATATTGATGTGTGTATGTCTTACACATAGTAATGTTACAAAAAATAATGATTATAATCTAATATCTTATGTTATTCTTAAAAACATATTTATAATATAGATGATACTTGTCAGGCCAGGCCACTAAGAGAGCTCAGGCTTTCAATTGGCTCAGCCACGTCACTATTGTTATTATTGTCCACTCTGTATCTGTATTTGTCTGGTTAAATAAACCGTTCCAATATCAATAATATCAGTAAGTCTCCTCAAGGTGAAACACACTGTACCGTAAGCCCTCTATTCACACCAGTTCTCTTCCTAATGTGCTGCAAACTTTGAAAAAAAAAATTAAATGCATCCTCCATTCTATATAAATTACTAAATATTTATTGTACATGACTTATGAAAAACATGAACCCAATTAAAATAAAAATAAAATAAAATTAGAAACATTAATTTCTGCTTCGCTGTTTCTTGTGTTTATCTTCCATGTACTGTACAGTGTTTGTATATTGTATCAGTAGTGTGTAGGATTTAATAACTTATAACAAATTTTAATTTTCTGTAAAACGTAAGGTTTTGGAACATGGTATAGTACTGTACAAATGCTGTACCATATTTTAGAGAAGAGGTTTTAAGTTTGATTCACACAAATTCAGTAAATTAAGATTATCAAGAACGTAACCCACGTATAAATTGGGGATTTATTGTACAGTAATTTTATCACAAATAACCAGTACATACTGTAGTGAGGCAGGACACAGTTTATTTAACCTTAATCATGCTTAAATGTTAGATAACATTCTAGACACTTCCAATTGGACTTCAACAACTTGTTTTCATTTCTCTCTTAACATGAAAATGAGAGTACAGTACAATCCTTCCATTGGTATTCTCTTTTTTGAGGATGTAAAGAGAATTATGCCACGGTGGGTGTTGCTCCCAACTGGAATGGAAAAGTTAAGAGATTAATTTATTTCCTACATACACCCAGCTAACTACACACATGCATACAGATGTATATGAGATTACTGGTGAAAACTTGATATATCAAACTAATATTGGAATACTGTATTGTACTATAAGCTTTTGGACATTATTTGGAAGGTGCCAAATGGAGCTTTGAGAGCCTCATTTCCCCTCCTACTATTGAGAAGTCGAGTATCCGCCAGGAATCAGAGAATTATGTCACTGGGAGTATATACAGTACAACAATATGTATTTGTAATTTTATAGAATATTACAAACTTCCTTTGTATTTATCAATTATTCCTAAAACAGGTTTACATGGAACATATTTCTGTCTTAAAAGCAGAGTAACTCGCATCGGATCTGTTTGTTTCCGTCCATTATCCAGGTGCCTCGGATAATCAGGTTTTATTGAAGCACAAGGAAGATACAAATCTCATATCCTCTTTATTGATAAAATGAATTTGTGTTCATTTTCTAATTCATAAATATTTTATTCTATACAGTTTCTTGATCAGATTCTAATTCATGAATATTTTATTCTATACAGTTTCTTGATCAGAGTTTACAATAGGATCGGTGTACTGAACAAGATAGTCTTTCTCTAGCACAACTGTACACAATTTCAAGACTCGATTTTATAACAAATATTCCATCCAGATGTACAGTACTAAGCTTTATAAAATTTGACATCTTGATTACAGATTTGTCATAGAAATATGAATCTACTTGCTTTATTTCTAAATTATATTAATGAGTTAAGGCTTCTTCCATTACTAGTTGATTATTGATAGAGTTGTTTTTCTGTAATTGGAATCTTTTCCCTAATGGGGAAATCATAGTGACCGAATAATAGAAAAAGCCAAACAATTGAGTAACGACCACACGATTTTCCCAGCCTTGACTAATTTATGTCACCTGCTCCATCTCGGGCTGCCCATGGTAGACATAATTACTTGCTGATGACACACACTACACATTATAAAGAAATGTATGTTTGTCATAAATCTTAAGAGACAAGACATCAACCGAATTCACAGATTACAAACTAAATTAAGAAATATCACTCTACGGGCAAATGTTAGTACATAAGAACCTAAGAATGGAGGAAACTGCAGCTGGCCTATTGGCCCATACCGAGCAGTCCCGTTTACACCCAACCCCTATCGCTCATATATCCATCCAACCTATATTTGAAGCTATCCAGCGTATTCGAGTTAATGATGATTTTTGGTAACTTGTTCCACTCATCCACTACTATATTTCCAAACAAATGTTTACTTATCTCGCGCCTAAATCTAAATTTGTCTAATTTAAAACCATTGCTACGAATTCGCTAATGGTTGGATAGTTTGAGTACCTTTGTTATATCACTTTTGTTTAGCCCTGACTTCCATTTATACACCTAGATCATATCGCCCCTCACTCTACGTCTCTCGAGGGAGTTCAAATTAAGATGCTTTAACCTGTCTCTGTACTCAAGGTTCCTAATGCCCGGTATTAGTCTTGTCATTCTCCTCTGAATTCTTTCTCGGGATTCTGTATCCATTCTGTAGTACTTTGACCAGAACTGAACTGCGTAATCCAAGTGAGGTCTCACAAGCGCAAGATATAGTTTAAGGATAACCTCGCAAGTCTTGTAACTAACACTTCTTTGTATGAACCCAAGTACTTTGTTCGCCTTGTTTTGAGCAAATACACATTGTTGACTTGGTTTAAGATTCCTACTTATCATTACTCCTAAATCTTTCTCACAGTAGTAGACAGAACAGGCTGTAAAAAGAAAAGACCACAAATAAACTAAAGATAGGAAAATGCCTAGAAATTTGGTGGTATTCACTGGACAGCAATTCTTAAGTTGGGAAAATATGGAGGTGTACAGTTTAGGAGTGGCCTTCATCCATATATGGATTGATGACAGCTGATGCTTATATAATATAAATAAATAAATAAATATATATATATATATATATATATATATATATATATATATATATATATATATATATATATATATATCAAAGTTTAAATAAGTGTATATTCTTACATTAAGTACAGTACAATACTTAAAAATATTTATACTTACAGAAAGGGCGTAGGAGCGTACTACCAGAATGCAGTATATAATCACACCCACTACAATGAAGACAGTGATTGCATATGCGATATTGAGTGAGACGATAATGGTAACGACAGCCAAGATGCTGTACAGAACCACGCAGATAATCGAGACCCAGACCCACAGCATCACAAACGAGCGTCGTTCCTGTGAGTTAAAATACAGTATATATATTTAGATAGTCATTTCAACAAATTCTTTATGAAACTGAGTTGAACCTAATGTGAATTACTGTTCAGTCCCCCCAAAAGTACAGTATCTTTATTTTTTCCGTCTCTATAATTTCAAACCCCGGATGAAATGTTTTAGTATATTCTCCAGTGCATCGTCATATGTTAGTATGCCTGCGCCCCATATCGGTAGCAGTATTCAAATATACAAAACAATGTATTTATGAAATATCTACAGGAATAAAACTTAAATTACTGGTCATTTTGAAATCTGGCAATTCTCTCTGCATGAAGGTGTTTCCAGATAATTTGACCCACGTAGTAGGTAATGGTGTATACCAGTACCATTGTGGTCTTCTGTACCCAACTGTTCCAAAACTAGTGGACGAACACTGTTCATAAAACCACGACCACATTAAACCTATGGGTAACGATATATATTTTTTTCGGGGGGGAGGGGGACGGGAGGTACATATACTTAATCTATCACTGCGTTCCTTTTTACATAAACAATTACTTTAAACACATATTTAGTTGTCTAAATACTTGTGTTCAAGACAAACTAATACTCTACAATACATACCTAATATTAAAAGAAGTTATCTTTGATTAACATTAATATAAAAATTTAAGATACACGCTCTGTAAAATATAAAATACATGCAATAACTAAATCACATGAGAAAGAGAGTGAGAGCAAGTATGTGGGCAGAGTAGGCTACTGATTGACAGTATTACATTGAAGCTTAAGGTTTTCACATGTTTCTCCCACTTAACAAAATGACAAAATGTCTACAGAAATTAATCATTAAAGGAGATGAAGTTTTAATACAAGTACCTGTTTGACTCCTTGGATGAGGAGGATGTTCACGATCAAGTGAATGATGCTCACTGCCATAGTTATCCATCCATCAGCGAATCCTGAAAGTATAAAGAAATATACATCGGTGAATTAGGCCTTTGTTAAATGCTGCCGTTAATTCACATATCTTAATCTGGTTATCCCTCAACTATCATTATCAATCCACCTTAACATCCACGCTTGTTTGTCTGCTTTACATTATCCTTCCATCCACTTTCCGTCACCCATCTGCCATAAAACATAATTAATATAATCAGGTGTAAATGAAATGTTATTTAATTGGCACAGTCACTAGTGGGAACCCATCTGTGGACAATGGCTATACCTGAGGGTAATATCAAGTGGTGTAGCTACAATGAGTCTTATAAGGTCCTTGGTTACTTTCTATATTAATGTATTTTACTCCCATTATTTTCAATGTCATCTTGTTTAAAAATTATACAATTCTTTCATTTACGAATTTATGTTTGCATTAACAAGTTATTTAATTTCTAAAAAGAAGTGAATAAGAGAGTACAGTACTTACCCTTCACACCTAAGTAGATGCCACTGATGATATTCAGGATACAACCAATCTAAAGCGAAAATGCCAGTGATTATATATTTATATAAATAAAATACATTTACCGGGTATATTATAAATATACAACTTTCTATACAATACTACTACTACTACTGCTACTACTGCTACTACTACTACTACTACTACTACTACTACTAATAATAATAATAATAATAATAATAATAATAATAATAATAATAATGCTATTACTACTACTACTACTACTACTAATAATAATAATAATAATAACAATAATTATAATAATAATAATAATAATAATAATAATAATAATAATAATAATAATAATAATAATAATAATAATAATAATAATAATAATTATAATAATAATAATAATATCGTAAATATGAAGATCTACAAACTAAATATTTTTCACTTTTACAACAGTTAACGGGGAGTGGTGGTTAAACACGGTCTTAGTACAAGTGTAGAGGTGATACTGGTAGAGTATAATGCTCGCTACTCACCACACCTAGTATACCAATTGCGAGGGTGCCGCTCCTCAGGCTACAGCCGCAGCAGGAGGCACTCAGTACGCACTTGTGTTCATTCATCCTGTCAACACAAAAGAGAATTAGTTTCATTCATAATCACCAAAAGTTGTAGTTAATGCAATATTCTTTGTTCGGTCTTATAATGTATGTCTAGTTGGATATAGTCCATTGTACACCCACTAAAAAATTATTCGGCACCTGTGTCATATTGTGTCACGCCGTAGGGGTGTCGAATAATTTTTAAGTGGGTGTACATGTATGTATAGTGCATGTATACATATATGTGTGTGTGTGTGTGTGTGTGTGTGTGTACAAGTACCCTGTATCATGTACACCCACTAAAAAATTATTCGGCACCCTTACAGCGTGATACAATATCACACGGGTGCGAATAATTTTTTAGTGGGTGTACAATGTACATACTCCGTGTGTAATTATCTGTGTACGGCAGGAGAGGTTCTTATAAATCTGGAAAAAAGAGCAGAATGAGCATCGCACTTGAGTTTGAAATACAACCTAAGGTCATTCTACAGTAGAAGAGGCACACCATGAAAGCATATTTTTTTTTCTTCAGCATTTCAACGCAATAGTCAACTTCTGTTCAGTGAAGCAGTTCAGAGCACTAGCGATACAGTTGGTCTGGATCAATGCTGTGTCAGTACATGATGCACGACCCATGGTCCCGGGGAAACACGGCCTTCACCATCCTTCTAACAAAAATAGCCCCGTGTGCCTGTGTTTCGGGCAACCCAAATAAATATGTCATTGACTCAATGACATATTTATTGTGACTCAATGATATTGAGTCACAATTGCATCCAGATTCATCGAAACATAACAATCAGACATTATATGTGTCGGTACATGATGGTTAGAATGTCTTTAAAATTAGTTTGAGGTCAGTCGAGCAAAACTGTAGATCTGATTTTGTTAAACTGTAAAAAAATTTCGAGACGAACATAAAAGAGACGAACGGGCAAAAGTAACAATATAAATCCTCTTTTTGGTGGCTGAAAAAAGAACGTCTTACAGCTTCGTGGCGCTCAGATGTTTATTCGTCAACTTTTCATTCTAATTGGAAAGAAAACAGAGCATCCATCTTGTTTGAAGATGTCCACAATGCCTTCTCGAAATTTCTTTAGAATTTAACAAAAATAAAATCATCATTTTTTATCTCTAGTTAGGAAAAATATAACATATACTAAGACAATTTGGACCTAGAAGAATTGCCAGTCTTGAGTCAGTGGTAAGGCAGACAGCCTCTGTGTTAAGCTTGTTTAATCCCCCGAAGACTATGTTTATATCTTATAAAGACCTCTGTGCATTATGAACAGCTTGTACAGACTTCTACTGTATATACGAGTATAATGTGTGTCGAAGCAGCTTGTTAATACGTCTGTGCATAAAGCGTATATATGTAGCTATGTAAAGATCTCCTTGCACCATATGAATGTGTAGTTATGTAAAGACCTACTGTACGTACTGTACATTGTGTAAATGTGTAGCTATGTTAAGATTTTTTTGCATTACAAGTACATGCAAAGCTATGTAAAGACCTCAGCATATAAAGTATGTATACAGTATATAATTACATTACAAAACAAGATGCAGGTTGTTACTGAGACACAACTGTTTAAAATAATTTAATTTTGTATTCACGTCGAAAGTTAAAAGGCGCATTATAAATCCATCCTAAAATTGAGTGTGACAGGACTTTGATGGCGAAATGCCCCTAGGCCAATTACTCATCATAATATATGTATGAATATGCGTAGCCTGTGTCCAACTCTTGGTCACTGACGCAAAAGTACACATTAATGTTCGATTTACCAAACTGAATCGTTGTTATTAATTATAACTGTCTGCCGACCTTGGTGGTCGTCGTCAGCGAGATGAAAGATTGATTGAGTGATATGTTTTTTGAGAAAAAAACAAACATCTCAAAGGGATGAAATGATGTACAGTAAATCATCCCCACCCCAGTCCAGGAATGTCCTTCTTAGGACTCACATAAATCCCTAATACAGATATATCTCATATAATCAATTATAGTACATACTGTATAGTTATATTCTAGATGCAAAATTTCTATATTTATTTAATATTTCATCTGTTTTTCTATTTTTAAACATCCATTCTATTTGCTTGGAGACATTCCAGTATTCCAGTATATAATGTAGCAGGGTATGGGATCTGGATGTTCTACAAACTCTACATTCTTTATCCTGTTCACTTCTCTTAGCTCTTTCCTCCTGCTCCTATCTTTCCCATATGTAAAATTTGTGTTCATGAGAACATGGTGGTAATGTTTCATTGTTTCACTTTTCTCAAAAGAGTTAAATGAAAGGTGAGGCAGCAGGCTCTGGGCTATTAATTTCACATGCTCTGATTAAATCCAGAACATAGAGTTGCAAGTATTTTAAATTCAGTTTTTGGTGAATGGTGTAATTAAGAGAAATATGCTCAAAATAACAGTGGTAAGGGTATTAACTCGGTGTCCAAATATTATTCTGGGCAGCTGGGCGAGTTTGGTGATTATAATACATACATTCTCGGGGATTACGTTGATGATAAAGTGCCTCACTGCGCTGCAACAGCTCAGATCTTTAGGCGCCAATACTACATTATTAATATATACTGCATTAACTAAACATACTCATAAAGTTAACATAGAATTTCGTGCTACTATGTAACTATAGTAGGTTAGGTTAGGTTAATGGACACTACAGTGTAAATATCCCGGTAGACCAACTCCAACTTGGTAAACCGCATACTCCCCTGTACTAATACCATAGAGTAAAGTAGCACCGAATTTCTTATCTATATAAATGTCAGTGCCTTATGCAAAAATTCATCTACGTTCAAAATGTGTGATACCCTGAGAATAAAACTCACTAAAAGTGCCGTGGACGCAAGCTGCACCACAAGAGCCCTACATACTACATACGCCATCCGCTTATTATCACACAGCTCTAATGCTAGTGGACAACACAAGCTTTTCATTGTAGTGCGCTGCTGCCTCACAGAACGCAGGCTGTTGCCCTCAATCCTTCTACACTGTGCCCTCAGTTACGTGGCTCCTCCCACCTTTAAATAATTTTTGTGTACACTTCTCCATTGCACCGCCTCTACCTTTCCTTATGTTTGTCTCTCTAAATCACTAGAGTTTTCATCTCTAAAACATTCAGCAAAACTTATTACAAACTTGTTTAATTGCTTTCCAGTGTATAAATTTCGTTCAGTAGCCGTAGTTAAAGCGTGTAAGTTGAGCACTTTCCTTTTGAATGTAACGTATTTCCCAGTGTGTTTTGAGAGCGTGTTTTCAAATTTGAAAATCTCTTTCGGTAAACGTTGAGTAAAACTTGTAGCTACTCTCACGTTTTTAGTGACCGCCTAAACGGAATATGATACATCATGTATCATATTCCCTTTAGGGATCCTGTTCAGCCCATCCCTGCTTACTGCTCCTCGCGCCTCTAAGTCTATCAATTAACATGATTACTGATATATCCATACAAGTTTACGCAAACTAAATGTACTTTCACTTCAAACATTCCCTGTTAATGATTATCTATGGTGTAGGAGAGAACCAGTGGCGATGGTGTTTATTGTAGGAGAAAACCAGTGGTGATGGTGTTTGTTGTAGGAGAAAACCAGTGGTGAAGGTGTTTATTGTAGGAGAGAACCAGTGGTGATGGTGTTTGTTGAAGGAGAAAACCAGTGGTGTGGGTGGTGTAGAGTGTGTGTGTGTGTTTCGGCTCCAAACAACTTCTCAAGTATTGTACTAAAGGCGTTTATTGTAAGGCGTTTTCGATGCACGGATTAGCTAATGCGTTAGCTATTCTGTATGCGCAGACGCTGCTTTTGACTTGTGCGCATAACACATTCAGAGGGAAAAGCTAATACCTCGATCAGTGCATAGGTGTGTTAATAATAATAATAATAATAATAATAATAATAATTAACGGTTCATTGAAAGCGCTTGGCAGCCAGAAGGCTGAAAATATACAGTTACATATCTGGGGAATGGGTTTCGAATTACAAATAATGTACAAATAACATAAGTGATATAAATAAGATATATAATAACTAGATGGGGAAAAGTTCAAACTACAGGGCATTTCAACATAGTGACGGTGCAAGAAGTAGTATTTACTGGGAGTGAATACACTGGTTTATTACAAGTTATTGATAATTTTTACAATGGTTGGGACTGGGCTGTTCTTATAGCGATCAGTTCGTGCACGTATGGGCTGGATGGGGTTGTGGTGTCGAACAGCTTTTCTCGGGCTAGGGATCTCAGGTGGTAGTAGGAGCCGGTGTCAAGGATGGTATAGAAGCTTCTTACCAAATTTGCAGATGAGGTCGTGGTGATGGTCAGTGAGAGTCGAAAGGGTCAGTGTGTTGAGCACTTCTTGATATGTGGAGTAGGAAGGGGAGAGAATGATCTTGCATGCCCTCTTTTGCACTTTTTCTAGGTGTTTACGTTGTGTGGCATTTAGGGAGGAAGACCAGGTGGGGGAGGCATAGGTGAGCTTGGGAAGTATGAATGTTGAGTAAACACTGAGGAGGTCGGGTGCAGGAACTCCGAGGGACTTGAGTCGGCGGAGGAGGTGGAGACGGAAACTGGAGGATTTGACAACTTCATTGACGTGTGGTTTCCAATTTAGTTTGTTGTCTATGGTGACGCCGAGGAGCTTCGTGGAATCTACATCCTGGAGTGTGTTCGGACCTAAAGTAATGAAAGGAGGTGGGACAATGTCGGAGGAGAGGTTGATGTGCATAACCATGCTCTTGGTATGGTTGATGGTGACATGGTTGTTGGTGGCCCAGTTTTGGAGACTGTTCAATAAATCCTGAAGGGCGGTATGGTCGGGAACAGAATTGTTGACGCTGATCCCAATGGTGGAGTCGTCGACATATTTCCAGCGAGCAGGGGTTTCTCTTAGGGCATCATTGACGAGCATAAGGAAGCAGAGTGATCCCATCATGGTGCCTTGGGGGACGCCGCAGGGGAGTGACTGAAAGGTGGAGACAGCCCCTCGGAAGCGTACAGCTTGG